AGGCGTCTTCCATCCCTTTCCACGTCTCGACAACACTTATGTCAACATTTTGTGTCTTATTATTCTGATCCAAAGGTCTGAGAGATCCGGTGCCACTTCTCCAGGCCACCGGCCAGTGAACTAATGCTAGATCCAAGTACTCGATGCCCAACATATTCAACGAAAACTTCATGGCCTCAACCACTTGTGACCTCTTGTGATATGTGTTCCACACTTTGCTTGTGATGAACAGGTCCTCCCGTTTAGTCTTATTTGACTCAAACATCTTTTTCAAAGTTCTTCCGATAAGCTCTTCATTTTGATAGACATAAGCCGTATCTATATGTCTGTAACCAATATCAAAGGCATCGTTGATAACACGATCCATGACTTCTTGCTGATCGGTCAGAGCATAGGTACCCAACCCTATAATTGGGATTTTGCGGCCGTCCACCAGATTTATGGATGGAATTTGTGCTGATTTTTAAATTAAATTTTAAATTAGTTTTAAGGTATTTATGAAAATTAAAGCAATAGACAACTGACCCGCATATATTTGACACGACAATAGTGTTATGATTAATATTTTTGACCACATTTTAAATTATCTGCCACTTTCAAACTCAATAACTACTTTTTAAGAGACTTTTGAAAAATACTAAATACTGTATAACTGAAAGCGAATCTCAAAAGTAAATAATAAAATTTATTTCGAAAAAAATTCCGGTATTCCAGTGTCTCTCAAATGCTGTGATTTTAATTCATANGCGGTATTCCAGTGTCTCTCAAATGCTGTGATTTTAATTCATAAATAACTGGTTTTATTAGACTTGAAGGCTGTCTAGTATTGGATATGAAATTTAGTAGAAATTTAATAGTAATCTAAATAAAGAACTGACTATCCTTTTTATAATAAACTTTTCATTATATTAATTGCAAATAAATAATAGGAGTTAATTAATAAATAAAATTACGTTGCCTAACTGCCTAAATGATTTTTAAAATTATGCAAATTAATTAATAAATTTAGTATAACATGTAATTTATTAAATTCAATATAAAATAAATACAATTCATCATTAGTATTTGACAAGCATGTAACTACAGAATAAATCAATTAACCTTTTATAAAATAAAACTTTGAAAGTGGAAAGTTTTCATATTCAAAATAAATATCATCCACTTGTATTGTTTTATTAAACTGTTAAAACAGTGGTTTGAAATTGAATTAATTTTTTATTTAATATTAATGCAGTCAATATACTGTATATATTTTAAAAGATATATGGTTGTTTCTGAATCAACCGCCGAATGGTGCGCCGGTATGGTATAGCAAATGGATATTCTCTATGATCTACAGACATATCTACAGTTATAATTCTCTTATTTTTGTTTAACGCAAATATTTTCCCCATTTCTTCGTCAGTTAATTGAAAATCAAAAATATTAATATTTTCTTGAAGTCTGTGTGTTTTGGATGTCTTTGGTATGGCTATGATATCTCTTTGGATAATCCAACGGAGCATCACTTGAGGGACAGTCTTGTTATTGTTTGCAGCGATTTCTGTTAGAATCG